ATACCCCATGAGCAGACATGAATGTACGTGAGAGATTCATGGAAGATTGAAGTGTAAATACAGTAAATTCGACCTTACTGACCGATCGCTCCTTCGTGGCCAAATCGGTAAAGGCATATCAAGCTAAATGACGGTTTCGTATAGGATACAGGTTCGAATCCTGTCGGAGGACGAATATTTTCTGTGAAAATTTCTCGGGCATTCAGTCCGGTAAATGATGTTTATTATGAACAGAGCATTTACTTAAATATTTGTATGTATGAAAAAGAATGTTAAACATAAAAAATGTCAAAATGCTATCTATTCTTAGAATGAACGAATGCATATTGACCTTTTGCCGTTTATTTAAAGACCGAAAATATTTTTAGATTGTAGAAGATTTTGGAGATAATCCGGCACGGTAGAGTAATGGATAGCAGCTTGGATTGAGGAATCAGAGAGCTGAGTTCGAACGCCAGTCGACTCCATTACGTGCTAATACCAAGTTTTAATAGCTGAAATACTTTGTAAAAAACTTATTACCAGAAATAGATTTTTGAAGAAAAAAATATTACCTGCGATACATATTTGAAGGAAAATTATTACCAGAAATAGATTTTTGAAAAAAAAAATATTACCAACAATAAAAATTTTGTCGGCATTAAATAACTCATTGAGGTTGATATGCCGTAAAACAAACCAAACCAAATCAAACTTCATCACTTTTTTCTTTTCAGTGTTGAGATGATTTTCATTTCAGCTTTTGTAACAAACATACAAAAATGAGATCATTATTATCGGAGTGAGTAGAAATGCAAACCCCACACTTTTATCATTAATTTGAAAATTGAGCTGATTTTTTTTTATTCTTCAAGTTGGATCATTTGTTAGGGAAATACCGTTAAGATATTCCCTTAACAAATGTCTTGCTACGATGTGCCGCTTTTGCTGTAAAAAAAGAAAAAAAAAACACTTACAAACAGAAATCTAATCAGCGTGATATAGATTCAGTGCAGAAATATAATAAATATTTTCTAATTTTTTCGCTGTTACACGATCGAATCAGGTTACTAATTTTGAAAGGTAGGATGTTTTATTTATTTCAATTCCCATGTATCTAGTCAGTGACTCATCATCTAATCATGAAATGTGCGAGACAGATAATCACGTGATGTCTGAAAATAAAATTCGGTAAACAAGAGCATTTCCATGATGTCATTGAATAATGGAAAACTAACGGGCCGAAGGAAATATAAATCAGAGTTTGGCTGACAGTTCTCCCAATAACTGAGATGCTGATGACACCAGCTCGGTTCCTACCCACGGATACACATGCAGACATCTAGGATCACGACTGAGCATTTAAAAATGTTTTATCATACATGGCTCACTTTAAAGTGAAGATTACATTCTGTCTGAAAAATTCACATTTTGTTGTAAAAAAATTATGAGTTCTTTTAAAAATTGGTACTTACAAAATAATAAAATTGATCGAATCTGATTTGCATCATTAATCTATTGTGTTAGGATCATTGTTAGTTATAGCAATTTTCCAAGCATAGCTTAGATGTGGCACAAGGCCAAAAGTAGGGGGCACCCAGTGAGGATCGAACTAACTACTCAGTTGTAATTGTTCTAGCAAGACAAGCTTGCTAACCATTATACCGCCTCAAGTTGTCTCAATCATTGTTATTTATATCAACATTTTATAATTTGTTTTATTAAATTTTAACTTGTCATCTTCTAATAGTTTTGTCCTAAATGATACCATGGAAAGGTATAAACATAGTTGTTCGGAAATGTTTTTCTTTGGCCTGCATTTTTGGAATAAATCTTTGCTCGCGCCTCACCAAATTTTATGTGGCAAAAAGTACATTTAAAAATAAGAAAAAAACAGAGAGTGGGTTAAAGGGGGATAACTGTCAGAATATTATCATTGATAACTCTCTCCTCCAATTTGCAGAACCTAGTTACTATATTCTTAATACTTTATATAATGCAAAAATATCAGTAATACAACCAGTCAATAATTATTTAAAACTATTTATACTGGGATTCATGCAAGCAATTACAAGTAATCCATAATAATATTTGTAATTTTGAAATCATATTTATTTTCGGCATATGAATTTTTTGAATCTGTTTCTAAATCTTTGATTGTCTTTCAATCATTCCACCTCACCTGCTATTGTCTTCTTCCACACCTATGAAGAACGCCACACCGTTTGGAAATCATTGGTATAACGCGTAGAAAGTCTATAACACAAAACATTAATGAATCTACTATTAGTGCTGCCGCGTAGTTCTATCGCCGAATTCCACAAATACCATAGGAAAATAGAAACTACAAGGAATTTGATGCAGTTAGAAATAAAGTTTGGGATACATAACGAGTAAGAGAACACGGAGAATTTAACATTCACAGGGCCTACGGAAGGCAAGAAAAGCAAAGAGACACAGTGAGTAAAGCACTTAACAAGTTAGAGTTAATGGATGTTACAAAAATGACAAAGAAGGGAGACAACTTACTTGGAGCAATAAAAAGTAAGACGTTGTGGAGAGCCATGATCGCTAATGTCTCTTCGGAACATAACATAAAAGAAGAATTGGTACTGCCACACACATACATCCACTAGACGTATTCCTCTCTCATTCTCTTACTTTCTCCATGTGTACATTCTTTTCTGACGTGGTCGTTCATGGCTCTCCACAACCTCTTTTGTTTCTCTCAGCAATACTTGATCTTTTGTAACAGATTTTGCTTTTATGGTACTTATCCACTTATTTACTTGAAATTGTCAAGTTGGTTACTCGTTGATTTTCAATGCGTCATATGTGTATTACATTCTCCAAGCCTTCTTTCCTCACTATTATCCCCTATGTAAACTTTTTCTTTTCTGAATGTTATTGGCAGTTTCATTTGTAGTTCCTCTTTGACTTTCTTTCATTTGTAGTTACTCTTTAACTTTCTATCGAGTATTCATTGCTAGAATCTCATCTCGGTAGATGTGACATGATTGTTCAATATTCATTGCCATGTGAGAAGGTAGACATTATGTAGAAGAGAGGTAACTCTTTTTCTTCAGTTCTAATGTTGTTTTTCAATTCCTTAATACGCCATACAATTTCTGAGCGATATCGTTCGCTATTCTTCCGTGCCTTTAAATTTCTGTGTTAAAGTTTCTATCGTCTGTTTACAATGCCCAGGTGAATTTCTATTTGATTTTCTTGCAGGTCTTTATATGTAATTGACATTTGAACTCTCCTTTTTTTTGGTAACAATCATGCATTCGATTTTTTTAGAATTAATGTTTAGCTCTCTTTGCTTTCATCGTCTGATAGTTCATGTTAAAATTTCTTCACTTGTCAAATGAGCTGTCTATATTATTCTAAAAGTTTCCGAGGTCGAACCATATTATCGTTTGCCTCATGTTTGTTCTTCATTTGTAACGTAATTGTTCCACACATACTGCCAGAGAAGAAGGTAGACATAACAAAACATTCCTTCTCTCTTTTATTCGTTATTCGGCTGCTGGAATCAGGTTATCGCTTTTTTTTTACTCTTGTATATTTGCGATATCGTATGTTTTCAACATGTATGAGGTGATTTTTTATGAAAGCAAAAGAAAAAAAAAATTGAACGATTTCTGTAGCTATACATTGCATCATGATTTACAAATGGCTATAAAATATTTTAAACATAGAATCGAAAAACTGATAATTTTATAGAAAATGAAATTCAAAGTTGTAGATACAAAGTATTCCATAAGCTTGTACCTTTAATGCTTTATTCGAAATATTGAGAATATCAAATTATTTAATGAGTTAGCAGATAATTGGGGTACCATCCATTCACGGTTTTCCCTACGGTAATGAAATTTCTTGGTGACGCCTTCTTTCTTTCTTTTTATGTGCCATCTCCTTTCAGGACGTAGGCGATCATGGCTCTCCACCCCCTCTATCCTTTGCAGCTCTCAACGAGTTCCTTTCTTCTGCTTTCTACGTCACGTTCTGTCATCCACTTGCTTAAGCCCGCCAGGTATGTCAAGCGTTGTTTTCCCTTGTCTCTCTTTCCCTCTATTCGACCTGTGAGTATCAGATTCTCCAGGCCCTCCTGCCTCATTATGTGTCCCAGAAACTTCAGCTGTCTCTTATTTAATTATAAGATTCGCCCTTGTTTGCAACCTCTCTATGACCTCATCGTTGCTCACACGCTCGGTCCATGATATCCTTAGCATCCTTCTGTAGAACCACATCTCTGTCGCATCGAGTCTCTTCTTTATCTTTGAGGGAATCGTCTAACATTCGCTGCCGTAAAGAAGGACAGATTCAGTATTCTTTTCTTTGTTACCAAAGAAATCCTCCTGTTTCGCAAGGCTCTGCCCAGCTTTTGGAATATGTCCTTGGCCATCTCGATACGTCTACGGATCTCAGTGTCGCACTTACCGTCCTCTGTCGAGACGCTTCCTCGCTATTTAAACTTCCGTGTCTGCATGATTCTCTTCCCGACCTGCAAATCTCATTTCAGGCTCTTCCTTTTACTGATGACCATGCATTCTGTCTTCTTTTAGTTTATGGTTAGTCCTTTCTTCTCACTCTCCGTCGCTATAGAAAGTGACGCCTTACTACTCTAAAAACCATCTGACAGGTTATACTGCGTTATATGCTGTCAGCAGCAGGAAGCAATCTTTGTTCTGAGAGATGTCAAAGAATTTAGAACGAAGTGAACACAAACTACAGCAGATAGAATCGAACTCGGATCGATTGATTTGTTTTTTTCACGGCTTATCAACATTTTGTCAGGTGAATTAAATCTAGAAATTATTTTTAGATTGTAAGAATTTATTGGAGATAATAACGATTTACTGATACAGGTCCTAGTAATTGATCCATAATTGGGGACATAAAGAAGAGGTGGGTCCATACACTTCCATTCGCGCGTAAGTCAATATAACGAACCCGGCTGGAATTGGAAATTCCAATTCCGACCCGTTATCCATTACGCCATCTGCATATCCAAGCTTACAGCACCTGGTATTCCCAAGTGTTCACCCATTTAGGTACTAACCAGGCTCAATGTTGCTTAATGTTGCTAAAACTTCGGTGATCGTACGAAAAGCGGTGTTTCAACATTATATGGCCGGAAGACTACGAATTCGGATCGAAGATTCCATTTTCTCTTCTGTTAACCGTTACGCCAACTCTGCTCTTTCTTTCTGAAATGTTAATGCATTTTAAAGGACGATTTCTCATTTTCATTATTTTTCAATAAAAAAATATATGGTTCTGTGTGTGTGTGTGTGTGTGTGTGTGTGTGAAAATGGTTGAATTCAAATTTTTGGCTTTTTATTCTTGCATCGGATGACGTATCAAAACTCATGAAAAGCTGCTGGTCATTTTAAAATTATTAACGGTTCAGTAACAGTATAGAATTGTTTACTCGTGTAAATCTCGGCACGAACGAGATAAAGAGAAAATTAACACGAGACTTTCACAAATTATTCGAGACTTATTCATGCTCCTGTGTGTTCGTCTATCTTACAAGAAACTCAGCGAAGTAATATCTGATCTCAACTAAAGGAAGAAATACAAATACATCGTTAAATAGACAAAAACTACATAGTTTAAGCCCAATTAAGAAAATAAAATGTCTATATTAAATTTTAAAAATGATGATTACACGTGTATAAATACGGGCGTTCATGTTTGTCCACATTTCGTTTGTTAAATTGTTTACGTTTTAATCTAAAAGTCACATGAGATTGAAGAAATTAAAAAAAATCAATGAAATTGGCTATTAATATTTCTTCTCTTTCGATTTAAAATTTAATTTGAACTTAAATCTAGTTTTTAAAAATTAATTCAGAAAACAAACAGAATCAATTTGAAAAAAAAAATACCATGTCATTTTTACGTCGCTGACTTTTGGTCGATTCATAAGTTATAACTATCTATGTATTTTAATGATTCCATGTGTTGTTTAATTCAAATTGATTTCCTTGCCTTCAGTTCATCTTTGGTATTACAAGGAATGTTCTTGGTCTCTCGGTCAACTGTGATGTGGTCGCAGAAATTGTCTGACAAGCATAACTGGGTTCTCTTGGTTGTGTGGTATGGGGCGGAGTCTTTTTGCCAGACATAGGGTCTTCCAATATCTCTTAACCCAGAGCAGCACTGCCTTCTCAAGTAACTTGATATGGGCCTCTGTGCTGAGCCTGAGACAGTCTGGGAAGATGAATGGAGACATAATGGCGCCATCACTCGTGATCACTCCCAAAAACTTCGTAATCAGCATTAGAATCACCCAACTTTTTCCGAAAACCTCTGCATTGTCCTCAGATTGATACCCAAACACTCTGAAGTGATCGTATTAGAGCTTCCAGCGCGAATTGAAAAGCATAGAGTATGCCGTTTCTAATTTTCTGGCGGAGTGAATTGTGTCATGGTGGTCATTTTCTTTATATATATATATATATATATTTATATATATATATATATATATATATATATATATATATATATATATATAATGAGAACGAAAAAAAGAAGGCCTCAATATATTATTTAAATTCTTTTTTCAATTGCTTTTTGTCTATATGAAAAAATCATAATATATATTCATATAAGAATATATATGCCTATAATAAAAGAAAAGAACAGTAAATATAAAATCCGGTTATTTATTATAATTTTTTCATGGTTGTTTTTGTCTATAAATCAAAAATAATACATATATATATATATATATATATATATATATATATATATATATATATATATATATATTATAATGGATTTATTAATCTAACATATTTTTTTATTGCTTAAACGTTATTTTTATTGTTTTTTTTTACGAAATAATATATCTATTTAATGGTGAATATTCGAAAAATTTTATTAGAAAAATATGCACTTACAAGATTTGTTAAATATATATTAAATAGCGCTGTAACTTAACATTGAGCACTGTTTTTCTTACACTATAGAGTATATGTATTTGTATATGACCGCTCGCTCGTAAACCTACCTATATCTTATATATATATATATATATATATATATATATATATATATATATATATATATATATATATATATATATATATATATATATATATATCGTGTCGAGTTGTTAGTTTTCAGCAAGCATTTATAAGATATATAATATACATACTAGCAGGGCCGGTTGGTTCAAAATAAATACAATGTTCTCGTGCCTCAAGAAGCTACTCTGGCAATAACTTTCTTTCGCGTTTTGGGTAATGCCATTACGCCTAAGGTGTCCCCAAAGGGGGAAGTGACGAGAGCGCTTGAACAATAATTTTGTCCCAATCTATGGCTACGTGGGTTTCCACTTTAAACTCGATACAATGTCACATTTCTCTTGAGTGGGTGTGCATATAAATGCCTATATCAAATCCACGTGAAAACATATTTTCATCTATTTCACTCTGTTCATATCTATCTATCTATCTATCTATCTATCTATCTATCTATCTATCTATCTATCTATCTATCTATCTATCTCACACTGTTCATATCTATCTATCTATCTATCTATCTATCTATCTATCTATCTATCTATCTATCTATCTCACACTGTTCATATCTATCTATCTATCTATCTATCTATCTATCTATCTATCTATCTATCTATCTATCTAGTCTTGAGTTTATGTCACCTTTAAATTTAAATACAAGCGTTTGTTGCAAAGCTGCACTTTTTCTATCATAGCAGCTGTCATATATTGAACCCAGAGTTTTGGCAAGGAAAGCAAATCTGGCTGGCGTTGGTCAGAAGGCACTTATTATGGCTGATGTCCAAGCCATTGAGAATTTATCGGAGGATTTCAGATTCTCTAAAAATACACTGGTGTGGGTAGCTTGATATGAGAGAGAGAGGGAAAGAGAGAGGGAGAGAGAGAGGGAGAGAGAGAGGGAGAGAGAGTTTGTTAGAGAGAGAGAGAGAGAGAGAGAGAGAGAGAGAGAGAGAGAGAGAGAGGAGGAGTGAGAGATAGTGAGAGTGAGAGGTGGAGAATTGTCCAAAGATCTTTGATGAACCTCTTACTCTGAAGAGATCAGCTATCAACTTTGGCAGCTGGCAAACAAACTATCGTCATTCGATCGAGGGAGTGTCTTGTCAGAAATGATAATCTGAGCCAAGGATTTGTATTTTTGGATTGAACTGAAGTTTTACTTGATACCAAAAGTACACACACAGTCAAGCACATAAATATACGAATGCATTTATATATACAGGGTATCTAAATAAAACGTGCGAAGCTTCGTCTAGAAACTTTAAAGCTTTCTCAAAGAATAATTCAAGCAACTAGAACCAATTATATTTAATTTAAATAATGGATATTAAAAAGCATAAAAACTTATAATCCTAACGGATAATTTATTGTTAAAAGCAGATATATTTCGGAAAGCTTTTGCAATCCTTGATCACTCTTGGGAAATAAATCAAACAGTGACTAAGCTACATTGTATATGTTATAAATTCAAATTAACGGAAAAAAATTCGATCGAATTGACTTCACGTAAGCTGAAAGCGTGAGAATTGCTTAAAGAAAGAAAGAAGTGTCATTTTCGAACACGAGTAGAAAAAATATTTCTATTTTTTATTCGTATTTTCTAGATCATTAAAGAAAGAATATACGAACATCGGCGTCTTTGTAAGGAAATAAAAAATGAAACCGATCGACCCCCCCCAAAAAAAACTTGAGAAGTCATCAGCAATTGCATTCACGCCATCAAAGAAGGTCACGAAATAGATTTCGACCAACCTGAAATAAAATTGACCAACCAACACAAATTCAACCAAAGACGGTTAGCTGAACAAATGATCATAGCAAGTACTGAAAATGTTTGTAATAGAATTGATACAGCACAGCTTCACCTGGCAATTAAATTCATATTAAAATTGAAGATTTGGTCATAAGGATGAACGCCTTATTGTTCTTGCATGAACATCAAGATAATAATTCCAGCCGTACTAATTATAATTTTCTAATTAGTAAATATCCATTCCGGTTTTTTGAGCACTTCGATGTAGTGTAATGGTTAAGAAGATTGTCTCGCTAGATCAATTACTTATGTTTGATTTGGTGAAGACGTTCAAGTTTCGGAAAATAATAATAATAATTTTTTTTTTTTTTTTTTTGTCAGTGGAAAGTGTCATGACGCCATTTCTAACCTTAGGTCCCTGGGCGGGACCCGGAAAGAAATGTGTAAACGCCAGAAATCAAAGAAAATAAAAGTAATAATAATAATAAAAAACATTTTCAGAACATTGTTCGAAAACCTGAAACAAATTACAAAGTCATCCTTGTAAAAGGGAATAAGTCATGTAAATTTCATAAAAATAAACCATCATGTATATAAATGTATGAGGAAATAACTAAATTTTATTAGAAGGCTCATGATAATTGTATCGACAATATTAATGCTGAGTATATTGCAATAATGTTAAAAATTAATGACAGATTGGAAAAATACCGGAAACTAGATGCACAATTAAAAACCACGAGGCAGACTTTGAGAACAGACTCTAGTCTAGGCTACAGAACCCATGGAAGATAGAACTGGGAAAAATCAACAAAATATTAATGCGGGGGATATGAGGGGTCCTTGGGATAATTACTAAGTTAAATCTGGCGATGTAATTGCGAATGTACACAAGAGTTTAATAACCTACAAAACCAAAGAAAAGGCATTTTTTGAAATAGGATATAAAATATTTTTAACCATCCATATCGGGTGAAATACTGGATAAAGCTATAATCTTCTCCTTGCAAGTAAAACTAATATTGAACCGGGTCTGACGGTCCTTCAATTCGAGTGTCAAACTCGATTAGCTCATGTTTTATTTCTTATTCTGTATTTTTCTTACATTTTATAGACTCCATTTCGTATTGAACAATTTTGATTACCAGCTTCACTATAGTTGCATCTGACCAACTACAATTGTATTTCGTTACACACACACACACACACACACACACACACACACACATATATATATACGTTTTTATTTTAGGATATTATATCGAAAACATCAAAATCGCTACACAATTGCAAGAATATAAAACTGTATAAAGAATATTGCTCTACTTTGTATTGAGCCCTCTTTTAAATTAAAT